CCTAGGGAAAAGACTCTGGGGGATTTTATTTATCCGTGGTCTCTGACACTGGGTAGGTTGTCTCTTACATCAGGAGTTTGTCCACAGTGCGGATCTAGAGTTCACAGATAAATTTCATCCGAAACCTTACTGAAGTTGGAAAAAAGGATCCGTGACCCATTAAAAAAAGAACCTAATTTTTATTTCATCATTTGAAATAAAGGATAGAATTTAAAAATCTCTGGGTTTCGCCTAAGGCTGTGATTCAGTGATCCGCTACCCTTTAAAGACCGATCCCTTTTTGTCCATATTCATGTTTTTAAAGATCCCCTCAGCAGTGGGTCACCCACTGACTGTGTAAAACACTGCAGCACTAACTAGAGAATAAATGATGCCTTTATGTGAAAAGAAAGACCTCAGTGCTTAGAGGCTACCCGGCATATAACCTCAGTATCAGAATATACTAGGAGTACATTTCTGCTGTACATATTTTGAATTTTAAAACTTACGCCTTAAAACCCCTGTATTTTGGTTTATCTGAAATATTTTTTTTTTCTCCAGTAATCTGCAACTTCTCTATGACTTGCTAAATGGGTGTGCTTTTTGATTCACACTAGTATTACCTTCTGTGATAAACATGAGAGTTCATCCTCTCTGGAAAGTGTCACACATTATCTATTCAAATGCCGCCTCTCCCTGTTTTCTGCAATTTCTCCTTCTGTTCCAGGACTCAAAAATGTTTCTATTTTTCATTTCTTTATGTCTCTACATTCTGAGTATTGTCAGTTCTGCTTCGGTTTTGCATTTTAACCCTTCCATTGAGTTTTTATTTCAAAATGATCTTTTGTTTATAGATGTTTCTATTTGTTGTTTAAAAGATAAGTCTTATTCTTTCATAGGGTTGAGTCTCTTCTTGGGGACTGTCCCACGTTACACATGCTCACTTGATATTCTCTGTCCCCTGCTCCCGCCTCAGGTTCTCAGAAATCTGCTCTGCCGTTGCCTCTCCTGCTGCCTCTCCCTCTTGGTTGATCATCTCCCTGTGCATCTTGTCAAGCACGCAGCAGCTCCTTTAGCAAGGAGGGGCTGGCTGTGTTTTTGGAGGTCCTCGGCAGTCTAGTGGGCTGGTGCTGTTCTTTCAGAACCATCTTGTGTTTTATTCTTTTGGAGGCCTGGGGGTATATTTTGGCTTGAAGACGAAACGCTCATGTGCCAACTTCACAAGAAGAGGCCCTGGGGATGAGCTCTGTCCCTCTTTTCACGACAATTTTTCATCCATGTGCTGGGGGCAATTTTCTAACCTGACTTTCATTAAAATATGGTCTGGTTTATGCAGGAGGCAGGGAGGCCTCACTTCCACCTGTTCACCCCATCGGGGCAGAGGCCTTCTTAGTTTTATCCCACCCCATAGCTCATCTGGACGTCCTGCCTCTCGGGGTCACTCAGACCCAGAGCCCCCAGCCAGCTACAATATTGGGTCCCAGATGTGCTCTGGCTTTGAACTTTCTGGCTTGGGCACAGGGTAATAACCCTTTTTTTTTTGTTTTTGAAACTGGGCAGTGTTTCAAAATCACTTAAACCATTTTCTGTGGTATTTCTTGGTATGTTAGTTACAAATTTTTCAGTTATGTCAGACTATTCTCTAGCCAGAGCTTCAGTTTCTAGACAGTTTATTGCTTCATTATTTCTAATGAAAAGGACTAAATTCAATACAAGGACAATATTCAATTAGATCTGAAGCAGAATTTTTAGTGGACTGTGTTTCAAATCTTGAGAATTTAGAAGCCCTTAAGGTTGGTGTTTTTATGTCCTTATTCTTCCCTGTGCTCAAAAGTGATGGACTAGAGAGATTTATTTTTAAGTTCTAAATAAAGGGACTCTCTAAAATACCTCCTGGGATCCTGGCAGGACAGGGACTGTTTCTTGCTAGCCACCATTAGAAACTGACCACAATAGAGAGTATTAATTGATTTCAATTAAAATTTGCAAAACGAGAGAATCTGAATCTTTTTCTTCTAAACACCATTTTAAAACATTACTTACTCTACTTAGGCCTGAATTGAATATGTAGCTATTCTTAACCAAGTAATTTGCCACAATACTCAGAAATAAAAGCCTCATAAATATATGTAGAAATCTCTCTACGTTATTGAACTATTCGATATTAAGTGATTTTTAGCACACAGTGTTTATCCCACAGAAATGACAGATTGAAAAATGTTGAGGTCTTTTAAGGGGGAAAAATCTCACTGATTTGAGAAAATAGCAATACCCATATTTAAAGTGAACTCGCAACTGCCATTATCTCAAATAATGCACCTCCCCCTCTGGGAAAACATAAGAAATTGTGTAAAATTGTAAGACAGAGCACAGGGAAGCCTTACCTGCCCCCTCTAGGACAGGGACTGGTTTTCTTTACCCATGCTCAGTCTTCACAGGTGTGAAGTGCTATTGTTTATTGGTTAAAACATTCCAGGTAATTGACTGGAAAAAAAAAAAAAAACCTAAAAACTTTGACAGTGTAAACTGGTGAAAAGTAACCATTTCCTTTCAGAAACGATAAATTCACACAGGACCACACTCGATCCTGAAGTGTGGCTCCCTCTTAAGTTGGTCCTGGGGCCTCTGACTTGACGCGTCATGTTCATGATGAACTGAAGCACATTGAAATATTTCTGCTCATCCCTCTGTTGCCCAAGTGTTTCCATGGAAAGTGGCCTGGGATTCTGAACAAAGGGGGGAAATGCTTATTCTCTAGAGAATAGATATTGTCAAGAAGTAGATAAACTAATAAGATAGAGAGCCGGCCTTGAAAACATTGGGAAGTTTTTAGGACAACATGAAATTACTTTTAATTTTTAGAATGTTTTAAATGAGGCACCGTTGTTTTACATTCTTGTTGGTATTTGGCAGGGTGGGATCTCTCTCCTCAGGTGTGGTCACTGAAGCTCTCCCGCGGCTAAAATACCCGCAGTCCTCCACGGTAGTCCACTGTGCTCCCCCCCCTTCCTTCCTGGGTGCCTCAGAGCCATGGCCTGCTTTCAAGGGTGGGTTTGAAGCTTCGCCCGGCCCTCTGTTAGGGCCTCTGTATTCCACCTGCAAGTGACATCATCTTGTATTTGTCTTTCTCCTTCTGACGCACTCCACTTAGCGTCACCCCTTCCAGCTCCACCACACCACAAAGAGCACATGTTTATCTTTTTGATCCCTGAGTAGTATTCCATTGTGTAGATACTCAGCATCTTCTGGATCTACTCATCTGTTCTGGGGCACTTAGGTTGTTTCCGTACCTTGGCTGTTGTAAACAGTGCTGCAGTAAACACAGGCGTGCAGGTTTCCGTTCCTATAAGTGGTTGTGTGTCCTGGAAGTAGAAATGCCGGGCCATATGGCAGATGGATTTTTAATCTTTGGAAGACTCTCCACGCTGCTTTTCACAGGGGCTGGGCCAGTCTGCATTCCAGCAGGAAGTTACTACTTTATTTGCTGTTCATTTCTGATTTACTATGCTTCAGTCTCTCATCACTACGATGCAAATGCAAGTCTTTAAAATCAAATTATTTTTTCCAAAAAAAACAGTTCCTGGTGATTATAGAATCATCCGATGATAAATAAAAAGTAAAGCTTTTATTTAAAAGACAGTTTATTTTTTTTTAATAAACAGCACGTATTTTTAAAGTGGCTTAACTTAGCCACAGGTAACACCGCGAACATCACCCTCGGGCGTAGTGATCTCAAGCGTAAATCGAGAAAATGGACCATCTATGTTTTAAACATCGGCCCTCAAAGCCCATTTGAAAATAGCATCTTCAGAATATCCAGGACTGGTCTGTTTTTCCATTTTTTCCCTGGCCTGTGTCTCCGAGCTCACTCAGAGGGGGTCCCCCCACAGGGGCCTGCGGGATGACGGGGTCCCGGCCGTGGCCTGCTCCACGGGCTGCGCTTGGGGGGTCCCGGGAAGGTGAAGGGCCGGCGCTGCCAGGCGGGGCTGCTTGGGGGTACCCGGGGACAGTGTCCTGGAGTCGCTGGTGCTGGTTTCACCACTTCGCGGGTCAACTAACGATCACTGACGTCTGCAGCTTAAAATCAAGGGTCAGTTTGGGGGCACAAGAAATAAGTCAACTCTTTCGAAAAGGAGGAAAAGAAGTAAGAGTAAAGGCTTCCCAACTGCAGAGCGCGGCACAAGCAGAACCGGTGCCAACTTTTTTCTTTGATCTGGGGGGAAAGTGAGGTGTCCCGTTTCCTCACACTGCAGAGGGGACCAGACAAGCACCCGCGGGGATCCCGCGCAGGGGTGGGGCGCCCCCTCCCCTCTCGGGAAGCAGCCAGAACTCTCTTGCGAGGAAGCCCCGCGAGCTGGACGGCCAGCGGGGCACGGAGGGGCGGGGTGCCCGCCAGCCCAGGCCACCCCGGGCGTGGGGAGGGAGCGTCTTTGCCACCCCGTGAGCCTGCGCCCCCACATTTCCGGACTCTGGAGTACGGTCGGCGGTGCCTTAGCGCCCCGTGCAGTGCCCTTCCCCGCGCTCCTGCGGCGCGCGAGCTCCTGCGCCGGCCCTCGCCGTCCGCCCGGGACACTCGGATCAGCCCCAGCGTGGGGAGCCCGAGCAGGGGCCACTGCCCGGGGCCCGCGCCCGCGCCGGGGCCGCCCTCCCGCGCGCCGGAGCTCCGGCGGCCGAGGCGGCGGGTCGGGCGCCCCGGGTGGGGCGGCGCGCGCGGTGCCCGCTCCGGCGCGGCGGCGTCCCGGGCGCGGGCCTGAGGCTCCGGCGCTGACCGAGCCGTCGGCGCGGCTGTCGTGGACGGGGCGGGCGACGCGCGCCGGCACTGCCCGGCCCTGGCCCTGGCCCGCGGGGCGCGCGCCCTGCCGGCTCGCCGGGGCGCACACGGGCGAGCAGCCGGCCGGCCTGCCCGGCCCCGCGCCCGCGCCCCGCGCCCGGCCCGCGCCCCCGCCCGGCCCCGCGCCCGGCCCCCAGTCCCCCGCCCGGCCCCCCGCCCGGCCCCCCGCCCGGCCCCGCGCCCCACTTACTGGAGCGGGTAGTAGCCGCAGGCGGGCGGCGCGGGGGGCTGCGCGCCGCCGTCGTCCGCCGGGCCCGCGTCCGGCAGCAGGCAGTCCCGGCTCTCGTTGCGCCGCGCGCCGCCCGCCGCCCGCGGGGAGCTGCCCCTGCGGGCCCCGAACGGCGGGCTCCGGCTCATGGCGGGGCGCGCGGCCCGCGGCCGCTCCGGGAGGCGCCCCGCGAGCGCGGGGAGGCGAGGCGGGGGTGCGCAGCCCGGCCGTCTGGCCCCGCGTCCCAGCCCGAGGAGCGCTGCGGGGACCCCGAGCAGGCCGCGGGGCGCCGGGGGCGACTCGGCAGCGCTGGCGGGCGGGAGCCGCGGGGCGCGGAGCCGAGTTTCTATGTCAACGAGCCCGGCCCGCGCTCCCGCCTCCCGCGGCGCCCGGCGCTCCGCACCTTTAAAGGCCAGTGACGCGCGGGGGCGGCGGGGCCGGCGGGGAGCCTGCGCGGGGAGCCGCGGGAGGGTCCCCTGCCCCCGGCCTGACGCCCGGACTTTCCAGGAAGCCGCCCCGAAAGACTGGAGAACCGAAGAAACTTTCTATAATTTATTTTTATTTTATATATTTTTACATCATTTTTCATTTGTGCACAGGGCATGCATTTCCATCTCGGTGAGCGTCCCCGTGCAATCCCCACCCCCTTGTTTGATCCTAACCCCTCCCCCTGGAGGGCCCCCCCTTTATAGTTGCTTATTGATTTTGATTTTTACTTTATTATAATTAGTCTTTTTTCCTGGTCCCTTATTTAGGTTTTCTAATGCGCATGGCCAACAGGGTATGAAAGATGTTCAGCATCACTTGCAATCAGGGAAATGCAAATCAAACCTACCATGAGATACCATCTCACACCAGGGAATGGCACATATTAAAAAAACTAGCAACAACAAATGTTGGCGAGGGTGTGGAGAAAAAGGAACTCTCCTGCACTGCTGGTGGGAGTGCAAACTGGTCCAACCACTATGGAGAGCTGTGTGGAGATTTCTGGACCTACTAAACATAGAGCTTCCATAGGATCCAGCAATTCCACTCCTAGGTATTTACCCAGAGGACACAGAAACATCCATTCCAAAGGGCACCTGTACCCTGAAGAAACTTTTTTTTGAAGGACACAAGGGTGTGACTCCTCCCTCCAGACTCCTTCATTTTCCCAGCAGGTTCTCCCCAGTTCCCACCCACAAAGTCATGACCTTACTTTAAAGTGGACCCGGTCCTGTGCTCCCAGGGCCGGTGCTCAGCTTCTGAGCAAACCAGCAAGAACAGGCGAGCGTTTTCCGATGGTCCTGATAAAGGCGCCAACCCCTTGCTTACTCCACAGAAAATCTTTCCCTCCATGTGTGGAAGCTTGAGGAATTCTTTCTTTACAGATGTTTCCCCCATTTCCCAACTGCTCGTAATTTTAAGACATTTAAAAATTCGGATTCACTTTTCATGCACCTGAGAAGTAGAAACTTCTCAACCAGGACGAGCAGGTATCTGCAGCAGCTCCGGGTTCCACCAGGAGTGGGGCGTCACCCAGGACAGCCCCGGCTCTGCCCAGCGCGGGGCCAGGAGGCAGAGCGAGCCAGCCCTGCCGCCCTCACATGGCTCGTGGGAGAGAGGAGGGCGGATTAAACTAGAGAGGGAGACAATATCAGGAACAAGGGTAACAGGGAAGATAAATGGGTTGCCTGACAGTGACTGGTGGCTGATCAGGTCCCAGCAGGTGGCTCCAGGAGGCCTCTCCCAGGAGGTGCTAGTCAGATGGAGGCCTGCGGGGCCAGGAGCCGGCGTGCGGAGAGCGGGGAGTCCCTTGCCTTTGGGCTGCAGAAACCAGGCGGGCAGAGACTGTGGGTCACCAAGCCCGTGTTCGCCAAGACCGCGTGGATAATGCGGTGGATGTTGGGAGGGGGAGCAAGGCAGCCACCTCGATAGAGGAGAGAAGAGGCCACAGATTGAGGGGCTCTGGGCGCGGCCAGCCACTAGGACTGAAGTTGCAAGAGTTCAGGCCACTGTGTCCCGAGCTCCCACTTCCACGTCTGGCGCGGGCTCGGGGGTGGGTGGGTGGGATGGGGGAGTGTGGGAAATAAGAAAACATTCTTGCCCGCTCTAGAGCAGTTCAACCTTTTTTTTTTTTTAAAGATTGATTTATTTACGCATACAAGCCCTGGGTGCGGGCCAGAGGCATGGGGGTGAGAGGACTCACCAGAGACAGAGTGGGGAGCAGAACAGGCAGATCCACTGAAATGCACTGCTGAGGGGAGCCGCGGGGAGACAGGAGAGGTCTGCTCTGCCCTGGCATGGGGTGTGGCTATCTCCCTGGCCGGGTATCGAACTCTTGCAGCAAAGGCTGCGGATAGCTTCACAGTGCTGGGCTCAACCCGCTGCACCACCAGGGAGGCCCTAGAGCAGTTAACTCTTCAACTAACTTCTATTCTACTGAGGTCTGTTATCCAGCATTTGAGAGTCTCCTTTCTGGACTCTCACTCAGCACGTGGGGCCTTGATGGGGGATTCCTATTATTTCCTGGTCACCTGCATGGCCGTAGGATACTCTGCCTGAGTTTGCTTATGACAGCCGCTCTCAGTAAGAACTGGCCGGCGTCGATGCTTGAATGAATTAGAAAATGTTTTGTTTAAACGGTGCCCAGGTCATCTGTGTGGGAACACAGCCTAGAGGAAACGATTTAGTGGGGAAAGTAATATTTGAACGTTTGCTCCCTGTGAGTGAAAGCCGAGTTACAAAAAGCTGGTGGGGTTAAGTAAAGTGTTAGTTTTTAACATAAAAAACCAAAAACTGAGGCTGAATTAATTTATTTTGTTGTTGTTATAGTTAGTTGAGCTGTTTGTACCTTTTCTCCTAACACTGTTTTTCATCCTCCGGTAGCAACCTTCACGCTGAAAAAAATTATTACAGCAAACTTGTAAGGTGGCAGCAATTTATCATTTTGCAAGATAAGACATGCCTTTCTCTATTATTTCAAATATAGTTAGTGCTGGACTAATACATCCCAGGGACATTTTATTTCCCCAGGAGGGAGCAGGTGGTGTACAAAGGATGGAAGATTCAGAAAGAGCTCATAATATGATGGAATGGAAAGAGCCTTAGATTGGAAATCCGAAAGCCCAGATTCGCCTCTGAGCCATGCCCCACTGCAGCTGTGTGGCTTCGCAGAGGACATCCAGCTTCTCTGCTTCGTTTATTCTTCAGTAAGCCCGTCAGTCATTAAGGAGGACCTCTCATTCCCTGACTTTCTGCATGCTATGCTTACTGTGCAGTTCCGCCACTTCAGTTATGCTAAAACCAGTGAGAAAGAGACTTCTCAGACAAGTGATAGAGCTGTGAATCAGGCAGTGGTGAGTAGTGAAAAGTTCGGAGGAAGGGACGCCATTAAAAGAGGACTTTCTCCTCCTTATACACCTCTGCCTTCCGGATGGATTGATTTTACAAAAAAACTGGCATTATTTTTATAACCCGGTGTTTTGAAAAGTCAGCTGAGGCAAAATGAGCCAACAGAAAGGGTTGCCCTCTGGAAGGCTCAGGCTGGCCACCCAAAGGGAAAGAAAGAGAAATTTTATCTCAGGCTGGCATCTGGGATAAAAGGTTGAGGAAACAGTTTTATTTCACCTTTTCATGTATTTATTTTCTTCCAGTTATGTTTAGTGAGGGAAGTGAGGGAACGCTGCTTTTCCACACGGCGTTTGTTTCAGGGGTCGCAGGTTCAAATCTCTGCAAGGGTGTGCTGGTCCTTTGGTGGTGGGTGTGGAAACGCGCGTGTAGACAAAGCACCTTTAGATGCTCAGCGACTGGAGAAATGAAGAAGACTTGTTACAGGGCAGACGCAGCTTAGGGGACTCTGTCGCTGCTGGAAAATCACTGACATGGAAACTTGTGTGGGAAATGCAATTTGGGGCTATTTGGCTGCAGCTACCAATAATAGTTTAGTCAGGAATTCATCTGGATCATTTAAAGCCTGGAAACCCCGATGTTTTCTCCCAATGCATGGAGAAAAACAAAATCACTTTAGAAACTTCATAAAGCCTGGTCCTCTGTGAGTGAAGGGCTCTGTATTCCCTGGTTTGCGTGAATTAGTTGCAGGTACTATAAGATTTTTGAAGTACAGTCTCTTATTTTTGAAGAGAAAGGGTTACAATAATTATATTTAAGATCTCTCTTGCATCTGAAACTGTACATATTAAATATTAGAAAAAATAAATAGCAATCTGTTTTAAATTTTGCTCTAATTTGACTTAACATTGATGTCCAAAATGCCAGCATTATGACTAGGTTGCTAAATGCTGGGATTATCTGATTCAACCTGAAAATAATTATCCAGCCTATGTGCATGGGAATAAAGTCATACTTAAAAAAAAAAATAATAACAACATAGAAAGCTGTAAGCAGTGACCTTGAAGATGCGACAAAAGATATAATGAGATTCAATAAGGCAATAACTGAAATTAGGAGTATAATTCAACGGGTGGTTTTAAAGGAATAGTAGACCTCGTTGAAGAGAGATTTGTTAGTAACCTGGCAAGTACAACATGCCATCCAGAGTGAGGCATGCGGACACGCGAGATGGGAACACAGGGAGACGGCAAGAGACGCAGAGGGGACCGTGAGCGGGTCCAGCACACGTTTAGATTGAGCGCCAATGAGGAGAGAAACAACGAGCAGTCACTGTTTGAAGAGATAATTGCCTGAGAGCATCCCAGGAAAGATGGGTGCTATTAATCCTTGGATCAAAACAGCCTGGTGAACCCCCCAAAAAGGAAAGAGGAAAATAAATCTAGACTAGATTTGAAATGACACAAAAGCAAACAATGAAAGATTCTGAAAGCGGGCAGAACAGACAGATTACCCATAAATAATTGCTTGTTTTAAAAAGAGGATTATGCTGTGGTAACAAATAACCCCAGAATGTCAGTGCATAAGCAACACGCAATCATTTTTCAAGGACACTGCATGTCCTTCTGGTTCAGATCGGGGTTCTACCATTTCCTTGCGCACGAAGGTGAAAGGAACAGCAGCTGTTCAGAACATCCCCGCCATAGTGACAGAGGGAAAAAACTTGGCAGGTCTCAAATTGAAACTGAAAGTCTCGGGATCGAAAGTGACACTTCAGGGCCTCCCCTGGTGGCGCAGGCGGTTGAGCACAGCGCTGTGA